GGCGGTGTCGCACTGTACTATGACATCTCCCTCAGTTGCAGCATGGTAACAAACACTGCCCTCCAGTCTCCAGGCACCGTGGTGCGAGGTCGTACTAACCGCCAAACACTCCAGCTGTCTTGGTATCATATACCGCCCCCCCCCCCAAACAACTCTCCCGAGAAGGATGCACGACTAATGCACGACCACCTTATGTTTTCCCACAAGCGCACATACTTTCTTATCATGGGTGATTTCAACCTGCCCCGTCTATTCCACTCTGTCCCGTCTACTAACTCCTTCGCATCTGGCCTCATTGATCTTCACACGGCCCCGTTGTACAACCACACGTAGCAGCCGACCAGATTCCGCTCCAACAACCAACCATCCCAGCTAGATCTCGTCATTACTAATGAAGAATTGATGGTTGAGCAAGCTGAGCATGATACCCATGTTGGGCTTAGCGACCACTGCGTCCTCCGTTTCGATTTTATATACTTCGCTGAAAAACTCGTCAACACGCTGGACTGATTCCGGAAAGTTGAACCTTCTCTTTTCCGCTAACAACTGGTCACCCGAATCCCAATCGAGTGCCGACAGCGTGCGGTCAAGCTTTTTCCTTACCCTACCTGAACTCTGCTCCACTACGACGACGTGCAAAGAAGTTTCCATAAAGAAGAGACGCCCAGCACTCATCCGAAGTCGTACACGGAAATGGATTGTCTCCAGGAACACGGCATGGAGAAACTATCGCTCCCATCCAACGGCCACTCAGTGGCAATATTACTGATCCATCCGTAACCAATGCGTCCATCTTGTACGAGAAGATAAGAGTGAGCATCAGCGTCAGCTTATGCGTAAATTTTCATCAATCCAAGGCCTTGTTTGACGTCGCAGTCTTCGAAAAGTCAAGCACGGTGTCACCGCATTGACGACCCCCACAGGGCTCACGAAATCAGCTAACGAGGCAACAGAAGTCTGTGCCAGCTGTACGCATCCACATTCTCCGTTCCATCAATACACACAACGACGATACCTTCTTCGGTTTCACCCTCAACTTCCCTGACGACTGTTCATTTCACTCCGGAGATCCTGGCGAAACTCAAATCCCTGCGGCTAACGGCCTCTAGGCGCTGATGGTTTTCGCCCGCGGCTCTTGCGAGCGTGCGCTGCAGCTCTAGCTTTACTCTTAGCGGAGCTGTTCACCTGCTTCTTCTTGCAAGGCAAAGTTCCCAATGATTGGAAATGTGGGACTATTACACCAATCTACAAAGGCGGTACTCGCAAAGACCCGGCCAATTACCGACTGATAACTCCTATCTACGATCTCCAAATTGATGGAATCCATCGTCGCAGGCGCTTTAATGGACTAAATGGAGGCCCAGAAACTGCTCTCTGATTGCCAGCACGGTTTCCGGCGTCAATGGTCATGCCTGAGTAACCTGCTACTTGTCAGGGACAGCTGGACGACTACTGCCGACTCTGGACTAGAAACGCATGTTATATTCCTGAATTTCGCCAAAGCCTTCGACAGGGTTGATCACAAGATTCTACTGCAGAAGCTGTAGTCTTAAGGCGTTTCAGGGGCCTTGGTGGACTGGATCCGGAACTACCTTCAAAACCGTACTATCCAAGTACGCGTCGACGGAGCGTACTCCCCGCATGCTTGCCACAAGCAGAGTTCCACAGGGGTCTGTTCTCGGACCGCACCTCTTCCTAGCCTTCATTGACGACGTCACATTGCAAGTGGAGTCTTCGCTGCTGCTATATGCGGATGACGCGAAGCTGTGGCGCACAATTAACCTTCCGGACGATGCCCACGCACTTCAGACGGACCTCGACCGTCTACATCAGTGGTCCATAAAAAACAACCTTCCATTTAACGCTTCGAAATGTCGCGTACTTTCTACCCGTCCTTCCGCTTTTCCTCCTATATATTACTTGGGAGCGTTTATCCTCCAGATCTCTTCAGGCGAAAGAGACTTGGATATCATTACCCAGACGAGCCTTTCCGTATCCGCTTCCTGCCGGAAAGCAGCAGCTGCTGCTAACCGCATGGTGGGATTGCTGAAACGAGCCTTCGGTCAACTTGACTCCAGCAATCTCCGCCTCCTCCTCAACGCTTTTCTTCGACCCAACTTGGAGTTCGCTATTCAGGCTTGGAGCCCTTGATTGTGGAAGGACCGACGCAAACTGGAAGCCCCACAACGTCGAGCAACCAAACTGGTCCGAGGTCTCAAGCATCTAGATTAACCACAACGACTTCACTGCATGGGCCTCTACTCGCTTAAGTACCGACGTCTACGGGGTGAGCTGAGCTTGTATTCTGATGCTTATTCAACCCTGGAGCATCCGGATCGCCACCTAGCTCACACTGCACCATCGTGCTCCCACCTACGATGGCCACCACACTGAGGCTCACACATCAGCACAGTCGGCTGAACTGCAGACGACACTACTTCGCATTTGCGACTCTGCCGACCTTGGAATGCTCTGGCCGGCCCGATTTAGTCTTAGCACCCGACTGTGCTGGACGTTAAGGCTCTGCCTAGGACTGTCATCGGGCCGAAGCTACACCGCGAATATGACCCTAATTAATTAACGACGTGCTACTGGGGGGGATGGAAGTTTCTTTCCTTTTTTTCTTCTACCGTACTTCCTTTCCATAAGCCGTTTCCGGAGGGGCGTGGTGGGATGGCTACGGCTTTGAGCCGGCGTGCATTCTGCTTAAATGCCGCATAAGCCCGGTGAAGATACGGCTAACACGCGAGTCCGACCCGCTATAAGGTTGCTTGGCCTTTCATTAGACCCGGCCCGAATTCTTCTTACCCCAAGAGAAGTGTAAAGCTTGAGCTTTTATTCCTATTAAATACAATGTTCCAATATCAGTATTGCACGCCAAAAATCGAGTTATAGCGTAGTACTTATCTAGTTACTTCGCAGTATACGTACGATATTTGAAAAAGCTACTTGCACTCGCAAATTGGAAGTTGCAAACTGCTACTACTTCCTGCCAGCTTTTATGACGATCGCAGACGATCCGGCAAAAATCAGCGGTGTCATCCAACATGGCGCTCGATAACCAATTAGACCTCCTCCAGTTAACCTCATTTAAATAAGCGCGAAATTCACAACTAAAAAATCTTATCTTGGGGACCAGGACTCTCACATCTGGCGGGAACGGGTTTGCGGGCCAAGATAAACTGGCACAGCCGGGAGTAAAATGGTAGCGTAGGATACTACTATGTAGTTCAATAATTTGCAAATACTATAAATAATCCAGTAGTGGATGTATAAAGGAATCGGGGTCCTGTAGCTTTTTTAGTACCATAGGTTATTGTAACCTTGATGACCGTTACAAATGTGGCGCCAAGTGATTTCCAATACTCCTGTCGCCTATCACAACAACTAATTATGAGTGCTACGCGGTAACTCGGTTTTCTGGCGTGCCATACTGATCGAGATTTTTAGTTGAAATAACTTGGAAAACAGTGTTTGAATAAACATTTGAAGCGAAATTTGGCTCTTGTCAAATTTCATCTGATCCAAGATATCTTGGGTCGACTAAAGTGGTACTGGCCAAAGCGTCTTCCTGACGCTTACTGGTAATTTTGCGGTTGTTCCCTTTTTTAATCCCGTTTTACACCCTGTTTTGCCTTTTTATTGTGGTAGTTTTACGGTTGTGTACGTGTTTTTACATTCTGCGTTGTTTTCCACTTCAATATGGTCGTCTCGCGAAAAACCGGGACGGATGAAGCCCTCGCGTCTTCGTTTGATGAGTCAAATGCACCTTGCAGCAATTCTGCCTGTTCAAGGCCAGTCACAGATTCATCTGGTGGTATGCAGTGTGATATTTGCTCTCGTTGGTATCACAAAAGTTGTACCGGCCTCCGAGCGAATCAGTACAAGATGCTATCATCCAGTGAAAGCCTTCTGTTTAGATGTGCTGATTGTTGCGCTCAGAAAGCGAAGCTCCCGGCTTTCACCTGTGCTGAATTCAAAGCACTAGCGTCCAGATTCACAGTTGTCGAGAAGGCATTAGCCGAGCTTGCCTCACTTGCCTCGCTCAATTCTAAAGTGGATTTGATTATGAAATCCCTGAATATCGCGAATGTGGACGCTGTAACTGACTGTCCTTCTGCTGATAGTCCAACCGTTGACGAGGAGTTCATCCTACCGGACGCTCCTGTTCACGTGGATATAACAGACACAGATGCCTCGGACGGCATTGTTGACCCGCCCCAAATGGAAGGCGAATCACGGGCTCCTGAGCCATTAAAGAATAAGCGTAAGAGGGTAAGGAAAGCGCGCAAACCCTCCGCCCCCAAACCGGAAGGTGACAAAATGCTCAAGAAGCAAGCGCCTGCTTTGAAAACACCACCTAGTGTTGCACTACCCTCAGTGAGACAAGAGGTGCCGTCGCCTTCGGTTTCACCAATTCCCGTCAGACAACCATATGGCGTGGATGGTAGAGCATGTGGTGTAAATACACCTCGTCGAGGCGATTCTTACACAGATAGCAGTGTGATTTTTCAGAAACGTCACTGAATACACTGCACTCTTCCTGCCGAGCGCACGCTTAAGGATCTTGATTGGGCTTAAAGTTTGTGTGACCAGGCTTTTACCACCAGGTTTCCCTGGCGTTACTGTCAGGAAGCTCATCAGATTGGGGAACGGCTACGGTTGGGTTAACCAAATCCTCGACCTCGTTTGCTAGGGTGGTCCTCTCCCACCCCAGATATGTAGCGTCCAGTGGCTCTTGTATCTGAGTGATTGTCATTCAGATAATCATTAGGGTTCGTTAGGGTGTGGGCGTTTCGCTGTCATTCACGTGAGCGGAGTGGTTTGTTGTTGTTTGTAAGACATCAGTGTACGTGTTTTGGCACGGCGTGTCTCTGCTGGCGTGCTAGGTCTCCGCGTGGGGGGGGTGTGCTGGGGGGCTGAGAGGCGGGGACAGGGGGCAGAAAGGACTGTTGCAAGCGTATAGTTGGGAAGCGAAGTCACATGGTCCGTGAAGTGTGATGTGGGGGGGGGGGGGGGTGGGGGGGGGGGGGGGGGTGGGGGGGGGGGGGGGGGGGGAGGGGGGGGGGGGGGGGGGGGGGGGGGGGGTGGGGGGGGGGGGGGGGGGGGGGGGGGGGGGGGGGGGGGGGGGGGGGGTGGGGGGTGGGGGGTGGGGGGGGGGGGGGGGGGGGGGGGGGGGGGGAGGGGGGGGGGGGGGGGGGGGGGGGGGGGGGGGGGGGTGGGGGTGGTGTGGGGGGGGGGGGGGGGGGGTGGGTGGGGGTTTGGGTGTGGTGTTTGTTGGTGGGGGTGTGGTGGGTGGCGGGTGGGGGGGGGTGGGGGTGGGGGGGGGGGGGTGGGGGGGGGGGGGGGTGGGGGGTGGGTGGGGTGTGGGGGGGTGGGGGGGGGTGGGGGGGGGGGGGGGTGGGTTGGTGGGGGGGGGGGGTGGTGGGTGGCGGGGGGGGGGGGTGGGGGGGGGGGGGGGGGGGGTGGGGGGGGGGGGTGGGGGGGGGGGGGGGGGGGGGGGGGGGGGGGGGGGGGGGGGGGGCGATGGAGGGGGGGGGGGGGGGGGCGGGAGCGCCGGTGTGGGCGGGGGGTCGGGTTGTTTTTTTTTGATTTTTTTTTGTTTTATTTGGTTTGTGGTTTTTTTGTTTTATTGTTTTTTGTTATTGTTTTT